TTTTGTATTAGTTCAAGGTCAATTACGACAATTACGGCTCAGAGCCTCAAAGTAATTGTAATTCATTTCTTTCAGTTTGACTCTATACTTCTAAACAGAAGGAGTGCAAAAATAAATCTAATAATTCCCAGCTGAAGAGGTCTATTTCAAGTCCAAACCAAACAGCATTCGCCTTGCTTGCGAAAGGTGAAGTATTTTCTGCAGGTTTTCTTTCCGTCTTCTTCTCGAGTCTTGCAATAATTTTATAAGCAGGAGTCTTCTCTGCAATTTCGAAAACGGCGCCATTGTTTTTGTTTCTTCGCCGCTGACTAATTGTTCGTGGCTTCAGTAAATCCCGAATTTGGTGCGACTATGGCACGACGTCTGAATCAAAGTCGTGTTTCTGCCGTGCTACAGTCGAACCTAATTGTAATTAAATTCGGCACGGCAGCAGCACGACGTCTGAACTGGGCCTTAGAAATCACATAGCATAGAAATCAAGAGCGAATAATCGCTACTAGTCGTTCAAAACGTAGCAGTGTGCAGTGTGCCATTGTTAACAAAATGACGTCCGCTTCCTAGCTTTTTCGACTTGTTTGTGAAGAGGATTTGGATAAGTTTTGAACGACTGGTAGATTTATACTAAAACAGGAGCCATAATCGGGGACGGAGACCGTAAGCACGCGCCATTTCTAGTAATGCACGACCAGGGCACGCTCATTTGAAATTAAAGTGACTGGAGAATGCGTTGGAAATAACGAAAAAAATTGAAGGAAAATGGAATGAGGGGTGATTAGTGTGCTGAACGTCGGATCTAGCGATCGGGTCTAAGCTGAGACCAGGATAATTGCTTGAGTCGCCTATTTTCATAGGCTGGATACTGAACTAACACGGCTAAGTGGTTAAGCCCCGGCCAAACTTTTTCCATACATTTGTCAGTAAAACCGAGTCGGAAATCGCGGGAACATTTAGAGACCGATGATTTGCGTGAAAGATCAAAAGTGCAATTCCTTGCCTCACAGCTAATCTATAATTTTCAAATTTGACCAAAAAATCCTTCTGCTGGATATCTTTTCTTTGTAACTCAAAGTACTCGGAAAGTCCGACTTTTAAACTAGGTGTATATGTAGATGTAAGTCAGTCACTCTCAACTTTATATCGGGTATCGAACTTTTAACTCTTCCCACACATTCACAGCAATTTTTGCTCTCCCCCAAAGTAAGGTGGTGTCAGAAACCGTGAAAAGGTCTTATTAACTTGGAGTATCCATCTTACAAGAGTACTATCTCAACGCATAATATCGGTTATATTCTCAAACACTTTATTAGCTCATTCTGAGATGAAATCTAAAAACTTTTATATAATAACTTAGAATTTCTAGCGCTTTCTTGGTACGAATCATAACACAAACTGTTTCCCAAATATGGCAAATTACGTATAGGTATTATAGGATATCTGTTTTGAGCGGACCGAACATAGTTTACCATATTTCGAAGTGAGGCTACCGTAGTTTACACTGACTTGATGACCATATATGGACATCTTGACATTTTGTTGCATAATAGCTGTTACCTTAACTAATAGTACATTTTGGACAAACTTAGAAAAAGGTGCAAAAGATGCAAACTCGCTTTAGTTTTCGCTTGCAGAAAAAATCGCACAATTCCGGTGACCTAACTGTTTGTCGCCAGTGAGGACCTTTCTTTTTTTACCTCAAAAAGAATCGCTTTACAATCCTGTTTTGACTTACATTAGATATTCGTTTAAGTTTTGGGGGAAGCGGGTTTACGACTATTATTACAATCTACATTACAACTGTTAAATCGTTTTTTCTTTCCCTTTGAACATTCTTTTCTCAAAAATCTCTCCGACTAAACCCACTTATTCCTGACCATTTCTTTGTAGTGTTATTAATAAAGTGTAAAATCTAAGTTCCAGCCCTCTTTTAAAGCATCCAGTGATGATTTAATAGTATCATCCAGCCATCCGCCGAAACTATAAAATGCTCTGTCCACCAAGAATACGTCCTGTCCGGTCAGCGGTCGCATGGCCCATCGTTGAACGGTGGATAAGGGGAAGTTGGCACCAGGCTTTTGCAGAAACCTACGTCATTAAATAATAAGTTGTTACATTCTCGCTACATAAACAAGGGGACCCCAGGACCTAGTGGGAGGAGGGGGGGGGGGGTTGGGGTAGGAGGAGGGAGGATGATTTACTCAGATACTAACCAAACAAAGTAGAATTTTATACATTTCTCCTTGAAATTTGCATAAAATTTGCGCTGGCAAATGAAACTGACACAATTGTCATAAAAAAGAAAATAAATAAAAAACAAATAAAATTAAATAAACACTGATTGACATAAGCGGCTGATAAAGAGGCATAACATAATGTAGACAGACATGACTACACTTCAAGCCACGTTAGGTGACACCTGGCGATTTCCAAACTATTAAATGCAGTCAAGAGAAACTGATCTGAGAGAACACATCCTCCATACATGGGTCTCTTCCAGTGATAATCTTTTCAATCTAATTTTAGCGCGCGGTCAAACTACGAGGCTATTTTAGGAAGGACATCTGATTGGCCAATTTCTCGAAATGTCCGATTTTTCGAACCAATTTTCGTTTCCCTTGGAGGTTCAAAAAATCGGGATTTCACTGTACCACCGCTGTTGTCGGCTTCAGAAAAGGCAGAGTCATGACCTAGGATACGCGAGGGTCCATTAGTTTTAGTAGAGGAGAAGGGAGGGGAAAGAAGACTCTTTCAGATTTCACTCACCAAAATCCTTCGTCCCAATACTTGTACTTAGTCTCCAAAGGATCTGGCACATCCTGTCTTTGAAACTTGTACTTCAGAGCTCGCTTCAGTTCTTTGTCGACTTCTTTGGCAGAAATCTTCACGGTTTTCCCCCACTTATCACTGCATCCTCCATTATTAGCTATCGTATGCAGCACAGCTCTTCCATTAGGACCAACACCACTACAACAGTAACACATACAGTCCATATCAGTAAGCAGGAAAAGACACACCCGGCCGAAAGTGTATTTCAAGAGGGTACCCTGAGATTTTTTGGTTGGATGACGGTAAAAAAGGCCAAGCGGATTGCTAAATCCTCCTCCAATTTCAGCCCTAAATATGTCATTTTCCTGTGCTCAATGGCACCGAACGACATTGTTTTAAATATTTTTCTTTATCTTTGGCTCGATCTCTAGAAGGAAATCTGTTTACTTTTCGTAAATATGCTCTCTGCTTTGAAGAAGAATTCGATGTTTTTGACGTCACTTTCTCCCGAGAAGCTTAAGTTACCTGCCGATTTACATCTTTCCCATAATTTTACGAAATTCATAACAGCCTCGACCTAGCTGTTTAATCATTTCTAACCAAAACAGAAAACACTTATTGCAAAACTTAACCCTGGTCAGATTTCAACTAAATGTATAAATTATAACTCTGAACGAGTTCTTACTTGTAAGGCATGGTAATTCCCAGGCAGTTGCTGCTTGATATGAACATCTCCAAAGGTTGCAGGAAGTTATTTTTTTGAGCAGCGATTGAGTCATTCCACCATGCTTTTTCATACACCGCTGCTCCATGGAATGCGGGCACGCTTACAATGGACTTAAAGATGTCGTGACCTGTGATGTTTTGCATGACGTCACCGTTTATCTTTTTGAGAGCCGTTGGTCCAGCGGTGATTACAGTCTTGTTGGCTTTTACAGTAAAGTTGGTAGTTTGAAGAACAAACTTGTCCTCTCTTTTATCAATTGAGGTTATTGTCTCTTTGAGGTAGATTTTACTACCGCGTTCTCGCACTTTTTCTGCGAGGGTTGTGATAAACTCTGACATACCTTTCCTCGGCCGTCTGTCATCGCTTCTCGCATGTATAACGAAATCCTTTTTCTCGAGATATGTCCTGTAACTGAGTGGGTTTATGGCTTGCATGTAGTCGCCCATCAACCCATAGGTTTCTTGCATCAGCTTGGCTCCCTCGGTTGATAGTTCGTAAGACAGGAAAGTTTCCGCTGTAGAGAACTGTGTGGAATTTCTAGCAGCATCATAAATGAACTCTGCAGTTTGCTCAAGTGTTTTATTATTCATTGGAACACGATCCAGCAAAGTTGGAAAGGCCTTTGATTTAAGAGAATCAAAGCCGTCTGCAAACACACCGCGAGCTTCAACACGATGCGTTTTTCGGACCCAACTATCAGCATGAATACCGAGACGGAATTCGAGATCCCTTAAAAAAAATAAAAATAAAATCGAAGTTTTAGTGGAGCCAAAATTAACCGATCATGACTACCTATTCAACAGTCGTTCAATTAAAGGAACTAAGTCACGGTTTGCGTATCTTGAATGTTGAGGCTAAATCTTTCAAGTTCGTTGTTAGCAATCCATGTTAATCCTCTCCATCCTTAACCATCCTTGTTCCTTTTTAGTTTATCATTATCTCTTTGGTGTTTTTCTATCTTAGTAAACTACTATTTTCAGGTTTCCTTCCATTTGAAGTTCATTTTGCACGTAGCCAAAACAACTCAAAATACCATGACTGAGTTCCTTTAACAGACATAATTGTTTTGTAATAACCAACATATTATACGAAGCATTAAGGTAGTGCCACTTACTGCTCGACATAGTTATCGCCGTGAATGTTCCACTCTCCAAGACCTAAGAAAACAAAAGTAAAAAGTTTTCTTAAAACGTTTTATCCAGTAGACATCTTAGAGGGAAAGTGGTTACGTCTCAAGTTAATCTTTTGCAATGCTGTATATATATATAAAACGATGTACTATTCTTCAATTGATAACACGCCGCCATAGTTTGTATGTGTGCACCAGCGTCTCCGGTGTCAAGAGCGAGCCTAGCTGGTCATCCTTGTAAACTGTACCTATAAAAACAAACCCTTCTCCTGTTTTCCCGTACAGGAAATCAGCTACTTACACTGGAATCGCCCCTTGCAGCCCTCCCGTTCAAACGACCACCTCGTTATTACGGCCACTTTTTTCTGGCCTGAGCAAAAGCTTAGTAAGTCATTTTCTTATTTAAAGCACTTCTTTAATTCGACCACTCCTTTCATACGGCTAGATTTTTGTGGCTCGTTGGTGACCGGATTAATGGGTTTCCACTGTTTATGGGTGACAGTGCTCTCTCAAACTTAATAATTCCACTGGCGGATCTAGGGGAGGGGCCCGGGGGGCCCGGGTCTCCCCCCTTATTTTGGGTGAAAAAAAAAAGAAATGACTGAAGGAAGAAAAGCCGGCAGGACAAGTAAAACACCCCCCGTTCCCTTAGCTCAAAGTCTGGATCCGCCACTGCCATGTGTTATGATATCACTCTCTGGTATCACAAAGCATGCTTTGAATTGTATTTTCAAGGAACTCTGTCAAGCATGTGAATCTATACTGCATGCGCACTACATGAATTATTTTGCTTTTTAACCTTTTCAGTCAAAAAAAATTACTATTTCTTACTGATAGCCATACAGTTCTTTTAATGTAAATTCTGAGAATCTGGTTGTACATCGAGACAATAATTTCACCTTTCCCCTCAGTTGATCATGTGTTGGTACAACTTGTATTGTAGCACGAGTCAAGTTCAAGTCAAGACAATTTTCTTGTTTGATTGTCTTTTTGATCTTTTGGATTTCCATGTAAGTCCTTCAGCTGTGTCAAAATGATGTACCAGAGGTACAAGAACAGCAAGATTTAACCCTTTACTGTTGATTGCTAGAGTTATTTCTTGCATTGATTCTCAGCTGCTTTCCAAAGAAAAAATGTTCCTCTGCATCCATCAATTTTCCTCACAGATTCCAACCTCTATTAATTACACACAA